CTCCCATCTGGCAGCCATCAAAATTTTCTCAGTATTTATGATTCTGTTTCTGTTTTGCTTGCTTGCTTGTTTTGTTTTTCAGATTCACTTGTTGATAGATATGTATTGCCCTTTTATCGTTCATATTTTTTGTCCTTAAAAAAGATCCTTTAACTTTTCATATAATACTGGTCTGGTGGTGATGAACTCCTTAAGCTTTTTCTTGTCTGGGAAGCTCTTTATTTGTCCTTCAATTTAAATGATAGCTTTGCTGACTAGTCTTGGTTGTAGGTCCTCGTTTTTCATCACTTTGGATTCTTGCCAATCCCTTCTGGCTGCAAAGTTCCTGTTGAGAAATCAGCTGACAGTCTTATGGGAGCTCTCTTGTAGATAACTAACTGCTTTTCTCTTGCTGCTTTTAAGATTCTCTCCTTGTCTTTAACCTTTGGCGTTATAATTATGATGTGTCTTGATGTAGGTCTCTTTGGATTCATGTTGTTTGAGACTCTGTGCACTTCCTCTACTTGTATGTCTATTTCCTTCACCATGTTAGGGAGGTCTTTTATTGTCATTTTTTCAAATAAGTTTCCAATTCCTTGTGCTCTCTCTTCTTTTGGTACCCCCATTATGTGAATGTTGGTACACTTGAAGTTGTAACAGAGATTCTTTATACTGTATTCATTTTGGGGGTTCTTTATTTTTTCTTTTTTACTCTTCTGATTGGGTGATTTTTGCTTCCTTACAATCCAAATTGATGATTTGACTCTGAGCTTCATCTATTCTACTTTTGATCACCTGTAAAATTCAGGGGTGTCCAACTTTTGGGCATCTCTGGGCCACACTGGAAGAATTGTCTTGGACCACACATTAAATACATTGCAACAGGTAATCACAAAAAAACTGCATAATGTTTTTTTGTATATTTACAATTTCGTGTTGGGCTGCATTCATAGCCATCCTGGGACACATAAGACCTGTGGGTCACAGGTTGGACACCCCTGCAAATTACTCTTCATTTCAGTTAGTGTATCCTTCATTTCTGATGGGTCCTTTTTATGCTGTTGAGGTTCTCCCTTAGTTGACTGAGTACCCTTTAACCAGTGTTTTGAACTCTGCATCTAGTAGACTGCTTGCCTCCATTTCGTTTCATTCCTTTTCTGGCATTTTGTTCTGTTCTTTCATTTGGGCCATGTTTCTTTGTTTCCTCATTTTGGCAGCCTCCCTGTGTGTGTTTCTCTGTATTAGATAAAGCTGCTATGTCTCCCAGGCTTGGTAGTGTGGAATAATGTAGTAGGTGTCCTGTAGGGTCCAGTGGCACAGCCTTCCCTATTACCCAAGCTAGGCACTCAAGGTGCACCTACCATGTGGGCTGAGTACACCCTCATCTTGTAGTTGAGCATTGATTGTTGTTTGCAGGTCAATGGAAGGGATTTACCCCCAGGCTGATAAGCTGTAAGGATTGTCTGTGACCACCAACCACTGTGGAGGATCAGCTGTGCAGGGGCTCACCACATGGAGCAGGACTTAAGTGGGGCTCTGTGCCTTCTGAGTCTACCCCTTGATTGTGTCATCTGTAGAGGTGGTTGGGTGGTGGTCCTTCAATGTAGTCTGAAGCCCACCAGATGCACTGGTTTGGGGCCTCCCAGGAGGTGCAGGCCAAGGTCATCTGCCACCTCTCTGCTGTCCAGGGTGGCCTGGTATGAGTTACAAAGCAATCTGCAGATGACTGCTACTTGTACTGGGCTTAGAGGTGCCCAGGGGAAGCCAAGCTGCAAACCAAGGCTGCTTGCTGTTAGTGTTGGGGCTGGAGCCACTTAGCAAAAGGTACAGAGCATGCTGAGGTCAGATGCTGCTTTTTTGAGAGGTTTTAGGAAAATCTGAAGCGTGAGCCAAGACAGGCCATTCTTACGGAAAAGCCACTGGAAACTGCTTGGCTTGATCTGAAAGGTGGGTAAAATGGGGCCTCGGGGAATTACCAGGGTAGGGTAAACAGTGTGAGCCAGGTTCATGGAGTCTCAGATATGACACTATCCTGCAGGCTATGTGCGGGGAGGGCTCATCAAAGGAACAATAGCCTCTGTCAACACTTCTCTCTGGTCAAAAGCTGCCTCCTAACTCATCCCAATGTAGGACAATTAATTTCTTCCCCATATGGCTCTGGTGCCTTTGAAACTGTTGCTCCAGTGCTGGAGCTCAAAGGGACTGAGTCCAGGTAAGTCCCTTTAAGAGGAACTCCATGGGACTCCAGAACATCTCCATCTCCATCAGCCTCAATCCCCACTGGTTTTTATACCCAGAAGTTATGGGGACTTTTCTTCCTGACTCTGTAACCATGGGCTAGGAGACCTGGTGCAGGGCCCGGACACCTCACTCCTCAGGGGGTCCTCTGCAGCTGAGATATCCCTCCGAATTTTTATCTGCCACATGTGGGTGTGGAACCAGCCATTCCATGCTTCTGACCCTCCTACTAGTCTCAGTGTGGCTTCTTTAATTCCCTACTTGTAGGACTTACATTCAGCCAGATTTCAGATCGTTCTGAATGATGGTTCTGTAGTTATGTGGTTATGGAGGGATGCATGTACCACATTTACCTATGTGGCCATCTTGTAAGAGAATAAATTTTAAAATTTCTCATCAAAAGAAAAGCTTCTGGAACTATATAGTGACTGTAACTAGACTTAACTGGTTATCATGTGTATATATGATATATATAAATGATATACACATATATACGGTCTGTCCAGAAGGTATCCAACCATGTAATATGAAAAATAGACATTTATTGAACAAGATACAAGAAACATTGTACATAGGACAATGATTCCTCAGTCTCCTTCAAAGTAGGCACCTTGGGACTTCACACAGGTCTCCCAGTTGCCATCAGCTGCCCCATCATATTTTCCTGAATTTTATCGATGATCTGAAATCTCTTCCCTTTCAAAGGTGATTTTAGTTATGGGAAAACCCAGAAGTTGCAGGGTGCCAAGTCTGGACTGTAGAGGGCCTGAGTCACCAGGGTGATTTGATTTTTTGCAAAAAACTGCATAACACATGATGCAAGAGTGGGCACATTGTTGTGATGAAGCTGTCAATCACCAGTTGCCTATAGCTGTAGCCTTCTGAATCTGAATAGTTTCTGCACAGGAATGTTTAAGCTTAACACAAAATTCGGTGCATATTCGTTGCCCTACGTGCTCAGTCATTTTGAATGAGACAGCTACACAGTACACATGCTCACTCAACGGCTTCTTCTGCCCCCACTGACTAGTACAGTGAGGTCATCATTATTCACAAATGAACATTTCAATCCACTATCCTTGGCTGCCAGGTTACATAACAGTTGTGCAAACAGTCCTCATTATATAAACAATGGCTGGACTTTATCCAGACAGACCTCATATATATATATATATATATATATATATATATATATATATATATATATACACACACACACATATATATGTATATGTCAATCAAATCATCATGTCCACCTGAAATTAATATATGTCAATTATACCTCAAAAAAATTAATTTTAAAAAAGATAAACAATGTAGAGGTGGGGTCATACAAAAGGCTTTTCCTTAAATGTCTGGCAACTATTTAAAAAAACATGTCAAACCTCACATTCCATTCAGCATTCTAGTCATGGGATTTACATTTTATTTAGCCCTTTAGGAAGTTTCTAATCTACAAACTGATACTATATGCTTCTTCTCCCGGCCTGACTCCTCCATTTTGCACACCAGTTTTAGGATTTAGAATCCTTACTCCACATGAGTATATACAAAGTGGAGAAAAATAGGTTTACAGTTGCATTGTGACTTTTTTTTAGTTAATAGCTCTATTGTAAAAATCATAACCTGCATGTCTTTCATACCAGCAACTGTAACCTACTTTTCCTTACCCTGTAGTCTGAAGAAAGCCAGTGTAATAGAGCTCATTTAGGGAAACTCAAATGTACCAGTGGTCAAGTCTCCCTAAACAGCCAGAACCCACAGTGGGTTGTCATATGGGCCAATATTAGATCCCTATTCCCAATTCTGGTTATATAGAACAGATGTAGTATATTTGCAAAAGAGATGGGGGGAAACATATACTAAGAGCTTCTTGGTGGAATTCATGCTGTAGAATTTGGAAGTCAATGAGGACATTTTGTTTGCTTCTGTGGCTTTTCTCCTTTGGAACCCAACTGAGGCGGCACTATACAAACCCTAGGAGGGGGAAGCAAGTCACCTAAACTGAATCATTTCTTTTCCTCTGAGCTGGCTTTGCCTGAGGTTAGAAAGCAGAGCCCTGCTCCTCTCAAGCCCTGGTCATCCCTGACTGTGATCCCTGCCCTTGGCACTCAGTGGCCTGCCTGGTTGGGCTGCTTTTCAGGCAGCTCACCAGCAGAAGATCTGCCGCCAGATTCTGTCAGTGCACTCACACACACTGTCTGCAGCAAAGCTGATAGGCCCATCCTGATTTTTCCTCTCTTTTCTTCTCCATTTTACTCTAAATTGTTCTTTGATTCAACTTAGGTCTATGTATGGTCTCAGGAAGTCACCTCTTGATCCACTGACCCATAAGTCAGTCATTGCTGACTGAGGAAACAAAAAAGTATCTCAGATTACCCCAGGTGAGCATACAGCCTGAGCTAAGAGCCACCTCCCACTACCAACAAGTTCCACACAACCCGTCTCTTCACAAAAAGGAAGGAAAGATCTCTTAGGTAGTTTCTAAAATTTCACTGTGTGTGGTATCTATCCCCAGAGTACACGGTTGATTCTATATTAATCCAGCCTAGCACTTAATGCCTTCCTTAGGTTGGTAGAACTCTGAAATTGTTTTAGTTCATTTCTTTTTTTCAGACACATTTCAAAAGTTGCAACTCTCCATTGCACCCCCACCATAATGCACAGCCAACTATGTTAGCAATGTTTGCAGGCTGAGATATCTGAGTATTCCACAAAATTAAAATGTAGAGCTGCTACTCTACACTGTTTTTACCAAACACTTCAAAACAACTGCAGGAAAGGGCCTCTGTCTCCTGGGACTGCTAAGGATTCCTTTTCTTCTCAGCCAGGGATGGAGGCCACAATCAGCTTTAAGGATTATTATTGGGGCTGCCTTGAACTGGGCAGCCTCAGACATTTGAGTTGCTGGGAACCCCTGCTTGAATTATACCAGGCTATGGCTGTACGCATGGTCACATTGGGCATAAGACCTCTGTCTTTCCTTCGATACTTTCAGGCTCCTGTGAGCTGATATGGTCTAGGTTGCCCTAAAAGTAGCTTGGTCCTCTGCCTGTCCCATAGGCAGGCTGTATGACAATCCAAATAAGCGGTTGCCCATCACAAAGATGCCTATGCATGAATGTTACCAGGAAGGGGTATGTCTAGAGGTGGAGACTTCTATTGTAAACGGGGCATCTGAGGCCAAGAAACTCAGAAGAACCTTACTATTTTTCCCTGCATGGATTAACTTGTGTGCCAGCCACATAGCTCCACCCATCAGCCCAGAGCTGTCTCCTTCCCAGGGTTCCTTACAGGACTGCGAGGCAGGGGGTAGTGAGGAAGAGCCTTGAGTGGGTGCTGGAGGAGTGTCACAGGTGTAAGGCAAGGAAGTTAAGACCTGACGCTCAGTACATCTGCCACAATCACAAGCCCACCTTCTAAGTAGTTAGCTCCATCCAATGGGACAGCTCAGTGTCCACACAATGTGAGTTGTGTCATCCAGCCAGGGCACTTGCCTCTGGAAAGTTTTCTATATAAGTTATTTATCTTTAGCTGATAAAATAGTATTTTAGAAAATTTCTAAAGTTTTCAGCCCTAAATTCCTGATCTCTGCCGCGACCCACATAGAGTGAAGGTCCCTGAGGGGGCGCGACAGGAGATTGAGAAAGAGACAGCACAGTTTAAGAAAAAGCGGGGGTCAGGTGGGGCATTGTCCTCGGATGGAGAGATAATGACACTGAACATGGTCTCCGCGTTTATTTTATGGGGGTTGGTTAGGTGAAGCTCAAAAACGTTTTGCAGACTCAAGGACTCACTGCGGGCGAAGATTGTTAGTTTCCCAGGCTACATAAATGATAAAGTTTTTTTCTGCCAAGGCTGCAGTCTCATTCAGCTGAAGCTTGTGGTTAACTATTTCCTTCTCAACCCCCCTGGGTTCTGGCTGCCATCAGCTGCCGGCTTGCTCTGCTTTGCAGATGCAAGCAGTCAAGCATGGCTTTGCCAAGCCCTTACCTGGCTTTTGACGTCAGCCTTCACCATCTTCCACGTCTGTGGTGATAAGGATGACTTCCTGGTACAGGGATGATACCTTTCACATGGGATATTTATTTCCTGCTTTCAGGGGTCAGAGGAGGGTCAGAATGTCATTCTTGTACTGGCTGTTTCTCAAGTAACTTAAATTCAAAATAATCAATATGCCAAAGTAGCATATTTGGGGGTGGCAAATTGTGTTCCTCTTCAGTTAAAAAATCCATCATCATCCATCCAGGCTGATCCTTCCCATTAATTCTGACAGGCATGACAAGTCATGCTTCAGAGAACACTGCTGCACACTCCAAATGACACCAGAACCTCCACTCCACCCTTGTATGCCTCAGCCTAGAACACGTTCCCTCTTATCACTAGAGAAGCCTTCCAGAATTGAGAACATCATCAACTGTTTACAGCTGAACAAATGGGACTTGGAATATACCAGAGAACATATTTTTAAATCCTTAAGCTTGTATTTCATCCTGCCTGTGACTCATCATCCATATACCTTGGCTCATTGCTCTGACGACTCCTTAGCAGAACCCTGTTTCTATATCATTGTAATAGGATAATGCCCAGATCTTTCCCCTTTGCATAAATGAGGACACTGCAAAAATGAATTAAGATCTTTATTTCCACCCCACCCTACCCTTCCTAAACATTACTACACCACCATCACCAAAAGTATAAATAGAACTCTAGGTCAGTCATTTCCAACTATTTTCACTAGAAATGAAAAATAGTCTTATCTGTCTACCCAAGCACGTATACTGTCACTTCCTCAAGAATTGATTTTAAAAGGTGCACAGACATTTTGAGTTCATTGTATGCTTTCTTCATATCCGTTTGCATCAACATTCATATAATTTTTGCCCAGTGATTGAGAAACCAGATTGCAAAGCTCTTCCCCGTGTACCACCAGCTATTGAGCTAAGAGGTGGGGGAAGTTACTTCCTGTGAAATTTTGGTGTCCTAGAAATTAAACTTCTACCTGTGAGTGCCAAGAGTATTTAGCATTAGTTCAAATTATACAGAGAACAACTTTCTCTATAATATCTACAGTGCTTATCTCTCCCATAGCATCTGGAAGGCCCACTGGCTTCCCAAAGTCACAATATCCACAGTCAAAATTATTCTTTGCGTCCAACACTTGATCCTTCATATATTCCTCTCAGTAAGTGATGTCATCTTCTGTTTTAAGCCAGAAATCCTGAAATCATCCTTGACACATCTCTCTTCATTAATTCACATTCACTCCATCACAAGATAATTCCAGTTGTCACAATGGTGTATCCCACTATTATATAGTGAGTAGAGGCCAAGGGTGCTAAAAAAATAATTCTACAAAGCACAGCAGAGTACCCCCACCATAAAGAATGATCATTTCCAAAATGTCATTAGTGCTGAGGTTGAGAAACTCTAAGCTAATAGTATTGTACCAATGCCAAAGTTTTCTGGTTTTGACAATATACTATGGTTATATATGATGTTACCATTGGAGAAAGCTACATGAATGGCATGCAGGATCCCTGTGTACTATATATCAGCTTCTCGTAAGTAATAAGCTATGGTCATACGCTGGTACTTGTTGGCTTCAGAACTCATCAAACCCTGTACTCATCATGTTTTGACAAGAAAAAAAAATGTTTCAGCACTTGGCACTTACTCAGAACTTATCACACATGCTAGAACTTGTATGAGTCACAACACTGCCCTGCAAGAGAAAATACTTCATCGTTCGGTACTCATCAGTTTCACACTCCTCATGAGTTCCAGAACAAATTAACAATGAGTCCTGATATACCACTGTATTTCTAAATTAAAAGTTGTAACAACAACAATAATAGTGAATTAAACCTTCTAATTACTCTCCATTGTACTCAATATAACCCCCCAAATTTAAGCATATTATTCAAACCCAGTTCCATATTCACTATTTACTGACTGTGTGACCTTAGACAACTCAAACTCTGTGATTCAGAGTATTCTCATTTATAGATGATGCCATTGTAAAAACTATGTGACACTGAGTTCCTGAAGGCACTCCATGATTTGTTAACTGGTGTTCAAATTAGGGGAATTATAACTTTTAGCCCTGGCTCTCACTTATCCCCTACCTCATCTCTCACCAAACTGATGTATTTGCTACTCCATATTCTTGATCCTTCTGTGTAATCTTCGTGTTAAGTGACTTAAGTGCCTAAAGTGTCTCTTACACTTTAAACTCTGTGCAATGGAATTCTTTCCATCAAGGATTTATGCACAAAGACAAACTGGTTACACAAATAGGAAAAAAATACTAAATGTTCAGCATTGGAGAAAATGGCCAATTAAATTATGGTACCTGACTAGTAGAGTTGGCCATCAATTAATTCATTCATTCAACAAATAAAGTGCTTGCCAGATAAGATAAAATTAAAGGAGTTCATCGTTACCAAGCCCTTATTATATGAAATGTTAAACGGACCTATCTAAGAAAAAGAACATCAAAACCATGAACAGTAAAATGACAACAAACTCACAACTATCATCAACTGAACCTAAAAAAAAAAAGCAATAAACACACAACTAGAACAGGAACAGAATTACAGAAATGGAGATCACATGGAGGGTAATCAGCAGGGAGGGGAAGGGGGAGAATGGGGGAAAGGTACAGGGAATAAAACGCATAAATGGGATCTGGCAAGATGGCAGACAAGTGAATGGAAATCACACTGACCTCCCAGGATCAATCAGGAATTACAACTAAATTGTGGAGAAATCACCTGGAACAAACAACTGAACAATAGCAAGAGAGAAGCCTCAAAACCTTGGACAGACGGAAGAATCAGTTTCAGTACAACCTGACTGGTAAGGAGTGCAGTGGAGACCCAAGAACACTGGCTGGGAACCCACAGGCAGCGGTGTCAGAGGGATATTTGATTTGCCAGTTGGATCCCCCTGAGAAGAGTGGGGTCTAAACCATAAGTGGGGATCCCCAGCCTACAGCATCCCAGCCCAAAAACTACACAGATAACAGCCAGCTGCAAGAAGTGGCAGGGTTGCTCTCTGCCAGAGACCAGCAGCTAGAGATGCAAAGAGCCATTTAAAGGGCCAATGAATAAATTTTTATTTGCAGGCACTTACCCTGGTGTCCAGCAAAGTTGGGGGAAGAGTGGGCTAGAGATGCCTGAGGAGAGACTGTGAACATAGGCTTTAGGGAGACAACTGAGAAAGTAGCTGCTGGGCTCCCAGTGATGAGTCATCCCCCATATGGCAGTAGCCATCTTGCTAAGGCAGTCCACTCCCATGAGTGGCAGCAGCATGACAGGAAAAAATAGCCCACCCCCAGGAAAGACTCTGCCTTGCCCTATGCAGAGGTGCTCAAACCTGAGAGCTGAGTGCAGAGTGACAAATTTAACAACTGAAGAAGACATCCACAGACAGTAGATCCCTGGAAGTTTTGAACAGACTGCCTAAGGTCAGATGGGGTCAACATCAGATATCACCAGAGGCAGATCCAGAAAGAAAAAACAGCGATAAATACTAGAGGCTACTGAGATGAAATCCACTGTGGTCTTCTCCATGATTTGTGATATTTTTTTACTACATAACTTTTTGATGTTCATATCTTGCCCATCAAGTATGTGCATATTAAGTCATTAGATTTTATACTATAGTTTATTTCTCTCCTTTCTCATAATAGTCTTAATCTCTTTACAGCCTTATTAATACTAGTTCATTTGCTGTTGATGGTGGGATTGCAGAAGGGAGTTACTTTTGTGGTGTAGGTTTGTTTCCTGGGCTTTGTGGTTTTGTTCTGACAGCACCTGCACAAAAACAAACAAGACATGGTGGGCAGAGTGACCCTCAGTCAACCAACTGGAGGGAAGGACCCACCAAAGAACGAC